ACGCGAGCGTCTCGCCGCCCCACGGCTCTTTTCGGGTTCGCCAAGAGTTGCGCAGTGAATCCGCAGCGAGTGCGGGTCCTCACGCCGGGACACTCGGGGCTCCTACGACTGCGGAAAGAAACGGGTGGAGGAAGGGGCCCGAAAACCCGGGCCTGGGCTCCACGTGCTGCCAAGGTCCTTGAGAGCCACCAGCGGGCGGGCGGGCACCGCCGGTGGCCGAGGCCTTGGGAGGCGGTGGGAAGGGCCTTGTAGCCTCAACCCCCAGGTGCACCCCAGGATGGAGCGACGTTGGCTCCGGAATTAGAAGTCGGGTGCGTGCAGGGTTAGGGGTCACTTCCCTTCCTGCTCCTAGTTTCTGAGGATGTGTTGACCCCGAAGGTCACTCGCGCTCCTTGAATACTGGCGTCGGCTCAGCTGCTCCCCGTAATTAGTAATGCAAGGAGACCACTCTCAGAAAGAAAGCGACAGAGGTCGCTCTGGGGACACCACGGGGCCGATGAGGAGATGGCCTTCACTCCTGGTGCTTTCGCAGTGTTCTCTCCTCAGAGGAGCCATGGTGATTAGCCCCCTTTGGGGACCATCTCTGGGAAAAAGGCGTGCCTCCCATCCAGGGAGTAGCAACCCTTGTCTCTGCCTTCTTCCCAGGCTGCTTTTCCAAGTCAAGTTCTGGCAGATTGTTTAAAACCCCTGCAGTTTGGGTGGTTCCTTACTTCACAGAGGTGAGTTTAGGGTGGGCTTTTATTTCTCCTCCTTCTCCCCTGCGCATTCATCCAGAATGAAGCCAGTCAGGAAGACCTTCCCGTGCCAGAGCAGTGCCTGACACGGGGCAGATGCTCCGGAGGGACCCTGCCTGGGTGCAGCAGCCACGTGGCCCCCTGGCCCACAGGTGTGGGATGTCTTGGTCTTTGCCTGACTGGCTACTTGCTAAAGGATTCAAGAGACAGCAAGGCCATATTGTTTCGCTAAATGCTCAAAATGCTGGTTAGTTGAGTTTGCGATAAATCATGACCTCATACTGAAAAGGGGAGAATGTTTCACCTCAGTTTTATCCTCTCTTCACAGGCTATAGGGTGAAATTAATTCTCAGTCTTTGTACATTAGTTTGAAACATTTTCAGGTAAAATTTGTATATTTTATTATTTCGAATTTCTGGAAAAAAATTAATTTACCGTGTCTTGGGTTCTTGGCCTAATTCCTTTTTAATGATCCAGTGTAAATAGACATGTATTTTTGTTGTTGTATTAAAAAAAAAAAAGAAGGAGAAAAGAGGAGGCCTTTGCCCTCTATCTTGGATTAAAAGGACAAAGGGAGCCCCACCCTCACTCACTAAAAGTTACTCCCAATTGTCACTGAAGTGTCATCTCTTTAGGCTAAAATTCGAATCCTTGTCAAAATGATCACTTGCCAAGGTGTGTAGACCACGCCATTTGGGTTAGGGTTAGGGTTAGGGTTAGGGAACTGACTTTGGAAGGAAAGACAGTGAGGTGAGAGGAGAACAAGTTGATTGAAGGGAAGTCAGGGAGGCGCTTCCACTGAAACGGATTCAGAACCAGGAAGCCACAATGGAACTTCTGATACGAAATGTCTTCTTTATGGAGCAGTTTTCAGCAATTGTTACGATGTGTACTTTTGTCCATCGATCTGTGTGACTATGTCAAATCATCCATCAATAAATTATGTTCTCTGAGTTTTTGTTAGAGTGTCAATTTTAGTGCCGCCTAAATTAAAACCTTCTATTGTATTGCCTGCATTCCAAGAGCTTTTTGTGTGTGTTTGGGTCCTTGTGATATTATGAGAGAGAGGGAGATAGGTTTTCGTGCATGGCCCCTGGCTTATAACCCCCATAGCCCGTGTTACAGTCTTTTATTATAATGTTGGGGGTGCTTTAGCCCTCAGAATAAGGCCTCAGAAAACAATCTCTCTCTCTCTCTCTCTCTCTCTCTCTCTCTCTCTCTCTCTCTCCCCCCCTCCTTTCATTAGCTCAAGGCAGGACTCTAATCTTCCCCTGCCTTTCTGATTGTGTGTCGTAACACCCTCAATTCAGAAGGGGTCCTGTCCCATTTCTGGGAGGAACTTGTGCTGCACAGAGAGGCCAAGAAGAATCTAGACAGGCCTTACAGGGTTTCCCCACTCAGCTCACACCCTTTTTGTTCAATCACATTTTTACATGGTCGTCAATCATGTCTATCCAATGAGGTCTCCATAAAAGGCTCAATAGGTCCCGCTCAATAGCCGAACATGTGGAGGTTCCCGGAGGGTGGCGCCCCTGGGGAGGGCCTGGAAGCTCTGTGCCTCTTCTCCCTGGACACCTCTTCATCTGTATCCTTTGTAATATCCTGGTAAAGTTTCCCTGAGTTCTATGAACCACTCGAGCGGATTAATTGAACACAAGGAGAGGAATGTGGGAATCCTGATTTAGAGACCATTGGTCTGAGGTTTCTGGGGGCCTGGACTTGTGATGGATGTCTGGGGTGGCGGGGGGCAGTCCTGGGGACTGAGCCCTCAACCTGTGGGATCTGACATTAGAATTGATGGTAAACAGGGTCAGAATTGAATTGGAGGGCATCCTGCTGATGTCCACTGAACTGATTCCTTGCTTGCCAATGGGAAGAACCACGCCAACCACATAGGGTCGCCCAAGTCTTCTGTGCCGGCGACTATTATGGTGTGAGAACTGAGGCACAAAACAATGATCTTCCTCCTCAGAGAATGATATGTGAATATTTCTGAAATCTGAGTGTTACTCATAGACAATGTCAGAAAAAGCTTGTCAGCCATTTTTTTCCTTCTCAGAAGCTATTAATAAACTGATCATATATCTTCTGATCAGTGGAGTCTTAGCGTGGAGAGCACACAGTAATTGCCTTGCTTTGGGGCACTTTCTGAAGACCCCTATTTCTCTTTCCTACTTGGCGCACACAATGCTTTTAGCCAGTAGCTAAGTGTGGCACGCCCAGGCAACATTGTCCATATAATTATCTTTGACGTCCATTGTTTCTGAATGCCCTACCCATGACCTCCTTCTCAGATTAATGCAGTAAAATCTGTGCTAAACAAAATATCAGCAATTTAAGTCAAGGTAGTACAGTATTGCCCATTTTGCCTTTTGCCTCAGGCACCAATATTGCTAGGCTCAGTAATGTGACTAATCCTATCTCTACATAACATTCTGATTTTTTAGAAAAACATTTCATTAAAGTATTATTTATCTTGATGATTGAGTTTTTGGCAATTGTGCACCCAAGGCTGCCACCTCATTTACCTCCCCCTGGTCTGCTGATGTGAGGATAAGGAGGAGAACTTGACAGGAACTCTCCCCAACTCCCACTCTGCGGTGACGGGAACCATGCAGCATGCTCCAGGAGTATGGATTGAGTCCCACCCCATGTGAAGGGAATACTGGCTGTTTAATTTCACTTAACCAAATCTTCTAAACTTACTTGTCCCTCACCTCCACTTTTTTTTTCCATTTTGTCTATTATCCTATATAAATACAAATGACTTTGGAAACCACGACTCATCTCTGTAGAGCGTCGACAACTTAGAATATCTTAGAACTGGGGGTGTCCTCATGGGTTTGAAATCCATGCTTACTTACCCTGGTCATTCAGAGTGTTGTGATTAGAAGAAACCTTGATGATTGGTAGGTGGATGTCTGTGTCTGATAAGTCTGCATCCTCAGAGACAGTGGATTCTGCATCAGAAAGAAGAAGGAATTAACTTTTTGATCACCAGTGACATGCCAGGCATCATGTTAGGTACTTCATGTTAATTATCTCTCCTAATTTCTGTTAAAACCCCCTGTGAGAACTGTCACATTCATTTTACAGATGAAGGGAACAGAAACCTATTTGCTAGTGAGTGCTTTGACATCCATCTCATGTTTTTCCACTGGTCTTCATTGACTGAGACCTCTAGAAAATGTAAAAAAAAAGCGGCCCCCTCTACTTTTAAAAACTTTGCTCAAGACTGAACAATCTCTTTAAGAAATCCTGTCAGGTTGACCTTGGACAAACTACAGAACATCTTAGCTGCCTTGGTCTATTTGCCTGTGACACAGAGTTGGTGAGAGCAAAGGTCTGTATATTTCAGAAACCAGAGACTCAATTCTGTGCAAAACGCAACTCTCAGAAAAACCAAACAATCAGATCTGGACTCAGCACTCTGTAAATGCTTTGATAACTCATTAAATATCAAGCTAAGGGGATGT